TAACCTCAGAACGAGCACAACATGCGTCATCACCGAGCGCTCAATCGATGACGTCTGAGTCTTAAGGTCGGTCAAAAATGGGGTGTCTACATATACTCACTCTCCTCGCCTTTCTTTCGGCCTCTCACTAATGGCTTCTTCTTCCTCGAAAGTACTTGTGTTGAGCACTTACGTCCCTCGGTAGCTTTGAAAAGATGCATTACTGATAAGATAGCTAAATACCAAACCCCAGAGGGTCAAAGCGTGATTGATGGCAGGATCTTCGTCCCTCGCCACCATGCTCAAGAGGAGTTTGTTCTTGACCCCATCTTCAAGGAAGCTCCTGCTTCACTTCCTCCCTTGTATCCACGCTTAGAGGATCACTACCTTCTCTATAAAGGAAGTCTCAACTGGGGAAACTGGAAGGTTAATCAACCTCACCGCTGCTGGCCCACATTGAAGACTGAATGGGAGGAGTGGTATGACGGAGTAGTCGGAGCTTGGGAACAAGATTTGGAGGACTTCTGCATTCTCGACACCCTGCGGCTTTCTAGGTTTGTCATTCCCGAGGACCTTTTTCTTATCCCTGCAGCCCTTTGTTTTTGGAACCCTACATTTAGCTTCTTTCAATTCTGGTGTGGCATGATGGCCCCCACCGTGCTTGACATGTGCCACATTCTAGGGCTTTCACCTGCTGGTGTTACGTTTGGCCCTCACTACCCAAACCTCAAGGCCTCTTTCTCTATTCCCTCTTGCAATTCTTCTTATAGTGATTTTGTCACCTCTGAAAACAAAAAGGAAGGTCCCGTGACCGACCGTGAGTTCTTTTCTTTCATTCTTTATTGGCTTTGCAAATTCCTTCTTTGTACTTCCTCTCAGAGAATAATGCCTAAATTTGTTCCCCTTGCGAAAGCTTTAGCCTTAGGGAAGAGAATAGCCTTGGCCCTTATGTTGTGGGCCATGTATATAGGGTATGTTCTCAATTTTTTAACAGGCCACTAAAGCCTAATCAAGGAGGTCCAATTTGGATCATCCAACTTTGGCTTTTTTGCGTACTTCACTGACCTCCATTCACATAGTTTAAGATTCCTGCTACAAGATTCTACTACTTACGGAGAGAAATATGCCACAGTGTCTCTACACCCATCCAGTTTTGTATATTACTTTTCTTTCTTTCATCAATTACCCCTAGCTGCTCAGTCTTCCTTTTTTCACCCTTTCGATACTATTGTGGGGCCAGCATAGTTGAGGGATTTTTTAGCTGATTCCACCTACTCTAGGCCTATTCACAAAGATATGTGGGCCTCCATTCTGCTGCCAAGGGAGCTCTTTATTGGCACATTCAATCCTCGAGCTTACAAGTGCATCTCTGAAGCCTACTACCCTGCCCAATTTGCAAGACAATTTAGGCTTAGCCAAGGGATTCTTGTTCCACTCTGTAGCTTCTCCAACCCTGACCTTGATACCAGGGACCTAAAGGTGCCAAAATCCCAGCTGGATGAAGCAACATCCAAGTTCAGAAGAGATTTCTCTAGCTTCGAATTTATACCTTTCACTAGCTATAGCAGGGCCATGACTAGGTTCAAGACTTGGTGGGCTATCAATATGGAGGCGCAACTTGTTGTTCCCACTCTAGATTTATTATAGAAATTGGATTCGTCATCCCAGGGTGGGCAAGCCAAATCTAAAGAGGCTGGCATCACTATTACTTCTACCCCTACTGTAACCTTCTAACCCAGAACCACCTGAGCTACTGCAAAAAAATGTATCTACTATGTCCTTTCTCTTGCCTTCCCCTTCCTTCCTTTATACTATTCTCTTACTTAGATCTCCTTTTTTTGTTATAGATACTTTACAGGAGACCTTATCCCAGAGGGCACAAACTCTAGCCGCACTAAAGGGCAAGCATTAGAAAAGAAAGGCCCATATTAAACTCATGTCTGTGAAGGAGGCTCACCCTCAAAAGCAAAAAAAAAAAAAAGAAGAAGAAGAAGAAGTAGCCCCTTTAAAGAGGAAGAAAGTGTTACCTTCCTCTACCGCCCAACTTCCTACAGATACTATTCATGAAGCAGCTGTTAAGGCAGTAGAAAAGGAGCAGGTCAAGGAGGTTCTTGTATTTCAAAGATCTGAGAAGAAGAGGTAGCAGAAAATTTTAAAGGAAGAGGTTGTTGTTGTCAAGGCAACATAACAAGAGGTTGCAAGGAAGAGCAAAACCGTTGAACATCACGCCCTTCGCAACTCTCCAACTGCTACTACCACAACTGCTGGTAACTCTTCTTGCTTTTGTCAACACTTCTGTTTTTAACTTGTCCTTTCTACTTTATTTTTGTACTTCATTTTTTTCTTTTTTCTTTTTTTTCTTTTTTTTTTTTTTTTTTTTTGCAACAGGAGGATGCCGTTGTCCAAAAAAAAATATTTTTTATTAAAATAATTTTTTTTTATAGTTAATGAATTTTTTTTTTTTTTCATTTAGTAAGGTTGAAAATTTATTTGTTTCATATTTATTTTAATGAATAATTTTTTTTTTTGGTAGAAGTAGGGATAATATTTTCCATTAAAATAAAGTTAATTTTTTGTGGTCAATGAAAAATATTTTTTTGCGACCCATTTTTTTTTTTTTGTTACTAAAAATCAAGAACTAATTTTTTGTGGTAGACGATAGGAAGTGGCAGTAGTGGTGAAGGTGGTGGATAAGAGGTGATAGTGGTGGTGGTAGTGATGGTGAATGAGATAAGTGGTGAAGTTGTGGTACTGGTAGAGGAATAGAGTAGCGGTGGTGGATGGGAGGTAATGGTAGTAGTAGTGGTGGTGGTGGTAGTGGAGTGGTAGCGATGGTGGTAGTAATGATAGTTGTAGAGGTGGAGTGACAACAGTGGTAGTAGTGGTAGTAGTGGCATTTGCAGTAGTGGTGAATGTGGTAGAGAAGATGGGTGGTGAGAAAGAGAAGAGTGAGAGACAGATAGAGAAGAGAGATAGAGAGAAAGAGAATGAGAGAGAGAGAGAGAGACAAAGCGGTCGCTAAAAGTGTATTTTCTTGTAGTGGAAAGCTCGGTAAATAGAGAAGAGATGAGGGAGAGAGTGAGCAAGGTGAACACAATGGGGAAAAGAGACAAACAGACAGACAGACACATAGAGAGAAAGAGAGAAACAGAAAGAGAGAGAGAAGAGTGAAAGTGATGAGCGAGAGAGAGACAAAGTGGTCGCTAAAAGTGTATTTTCTTGTAGTGGAGAGCTCGGTAAATAGAGAAGAGATGAGGGAGAGAGTGAGCAAGGCGAACACAATGGGGAAAAGAGACAAACAGACAGACAGACACATAGAGAGAAAGAGAGAGAGAGAAGAGTGAGAGACAGACAAACAGACAGAGAGAGAGAGAAGAATGATAAGTGAGAGTAGATAGAGAAATGACGTTTGCAGTAGTGGTGAAGGTGGTAGAGGAGATAGGTGGTGAGAGAGAGAGATGAGTGAGAGACAGATAGAGAAGAGAGCGAGAGAAAGAGAGAGGCAGAGTGGTGAGCGAAAGAGAGAAAGTGGTGGCTAAAAGTGCATTTTCTTATGGTGGATCGATAAATCGAGAGGGAGCTCTGTAAATAGAGAAAACGGAAGGGAGAGAGTGAGCAACGCGAACACAGCGGGGGAGAGAGAGAGAGAAAGAGAAGAGAGAGAAAAAAAGAGAGAAAGAGATAAAGAGTGAAAGACAGAAAAAGAGACAGAAAGAGAAGAGAGATGAACGAGAGAGACATAGAGAGAGATAGAGAAAAGAGAGATAAGCGAGAGAGACATAGAGAGAAAAAAGATGAACGAGAGAGACAGAGAGAAGAGAGATAAGCGAGAGAGAGGTGAGAGAGATAGAGAGAAGGGAGATGGGTGAGAGAGATAGAGAGAAGAGAGATGAGCGAAAGAGACAGAGAGAAAAGAGATGAGAGAAGAGATAGATGAATGAGAGACACCCAGAGAAAAAGAGAGAGAGACAAATAGACAGAAAGAGAGAGAAGAGTGATGAATGAGGGAGAGAAAGAAAAGAGAGAGAAGAAGATGAAAAAATGAGTGAAAAGATATAGACAAAGAGAGAAAGACAGAGAGAGAAAAAAAAAGAGCGAAAAGAGATAAACGAGAAAGAGACAGAAAGAGATGAGCGAGAGAGAAAAAAAAAGAGAAACAAAGAGAGAAGATAGATGAAAGAGATAGAGAGAAGAGAGATGGACGAGAGACAAAGAAAAAGAGACAGACAGACAGACAGAGAAGAGTGATGAGTGAAAGAGAGAAAGAGAAAAGAGACGAGACACAGAGAGAA